CATAATCATCATGAATTTGATAAAAATCACTCAGCTCACTATGACCATATCTGAATGTTATTGTTGCAAAAAAAACATCAATTCCTGGAGTTAGATTTGGATCATATTTTTGATATGGTGGCAGTGGTTTACCCAGTACAACTCCAAGATATTCTTCTGTAACAACTCTTTGGTAAAATGCAATATTCCATTTCCTCTAATTTAATTTAAAAAAATTTTTAAAAATTTATTATTATTATATTACTATCATTATTAAATATAAAAACCTACAGCCTCTTCAAAATATTGATCATCAGTCCATGCATCACCATTTTTTTCATAAAGTTCATCACATAATCTATTATGTTCACGCAACCAAATAGTGTGAATAGCCATTATAAAAATATTATTTGATCGTGCAGAACTAGCACCAACAATATAATTTCCTGTTGTTGGATCCTTAAATGGGTAAGGGTCATTTATATTTCCACTAGTCTTTAATTTTCCTTTATTACCCTCACGAAGATTTTTTGCATTTTCATTAGTAATACCATAAATAGAACTCAAGTCTAGAAAAGGAGTTGCATTATTGTAACCAGTACGCTTTGGTGTTTGTGTAGTAGCAGGAAGAAAATCTGATCGATTAAAAGGAATTGACTTCAAATTACTCAATTGACCTGGTAATGATGTTACTGAATTATATGAATTATATGTTGCATCATCAGATGGTATATGCAATTTATGACTTGGTTGTGCATTGTTTTGAGAACTGCTAATATCATAACTAACAAATTGAGCAAAAAAAGTAGTCTAGAAAGAAAAAAATTAATTAATTCAAAAATCAATTTGAGAAAATAAATACAATTGTTAAAAAAAATTTTTACCAAATGACTAGTTAGTCTTTTAGATCGATAGCTCATTGTCTTTCCAACATCAAACTGATTTAAACGATAATTAGATATAATATTAGAGATGCATCTTGGCATTGGATAAGTATTAGCTGGTAATGGATCAGTACACTTGGGTACTGGTTGTGTCGGATCAGTGTCAACAATATCAGAAGGTGTTTTTATCATTGAATCTCCATCTGGGCTAATATTGTTCATAAAAAAAAATAATCAATTCATTATTTATTTATTTAGTAAATGATTTAAATAACAGTACTAAAACGATCCAATTACCCAAAAAAAGGTTCAGGTGGATATTTCATTTGAAAATATTGTTTTGGAGTACCAGAAGTTGGATTATTTAAATTATTATCACTACCATCTGTAAGTCGAGACTCCACTTTACATGGTAACAGTAAAAATATTATGAATAATAATATTATTAGCAGAAGATGAAATTGAATTGATAAATTTCCCCTTCCTCTTCGATGATTGTAAAACATTTCCATTTTTTATTCTTTTTTGATAATTTGTCTCAAAAGAATTGATTTTATTTATGATAAACAATGACATTATAATAATGGATTAAAAAAAAGATGAAAAATAACAATGTTTATTTCCAAAAATATCATCGACTATCAGTTTATATACTGTTGATCTGCGAAATTTTGTCGTATTGAAAAAATGCAACGAGTACACAAAACTTAAAAAGTAGGTTATTTTCATAATTGATTTCATTCGTTATATGATTATAACTATATCGAGCTATAAATAATAGTGATAAAAATTTTCAACCAATCCAAGGACCTATAACAATGACTAACATTATTATTGAGACGTTGACCCTAAGGAACCGGTAAACCATAGCCTAATTTGCTAATTAAAATTGGGTTTACACTTAACCATCAAACCACCCAGATACCCCTGTTAAAAGATTGAACATCACGTTTTGAAAACGTAGCTTGGATTGGGTGAAAATTTGTCGACCCTTACTTAATTGTATTACATAATAATATTTAGTAATTTGCCGCAAAATAATTTTTTCTGAGTTTAGTTGTGTTATGTGTCGTGAAAAATAAAGTAATTGAATTTGGTAATGTATTGCGAAAAATGAATTTAGTGCCGCGAAAATGAAGTAATCGAATTTGGTAATGTGTTGCGAAAAATAACTAATTATTATTATTTACTGAGTTTCAGAACTATTTGCGGACCAAATTAAAAATGTGTCGACTTTTAAAATCTTCACATCATCTAAAAATGCAACAATATTTTTAAATCCGTAATGCTACACGACATTAACTTGCATATTTAACTAATATGTAAATTTATTATTATTGGAATGAGTAAAATAAAAATATTGACGCGTTAATGACGATTTTTATAGAAGGATCTGCAGATGTCATAATTTCCGCCAAAATTTAAGCGCCCAATTCCTCGCGAACATAGTAAAATACATGTACATATGTAAACTCGATAAGTCGTTCATGTGGGGGTGTGCTCGTATGACCGACTTATCGAATTAAATTACTTAAATATTAAGAAAATGGGGAGAAAATTTTGGCCGACTTATCGAGTTTACATATGTACGTACTAAAAAGGAACAGAACTCAACAACCCACCAATATTTTGAAAAAAACTCTCTGTCACATTAAAGCTTGGGTCCTAATCTATGTCATAACAGAGCTATTTTTTTAAAAATAATATACAGAAATGAACTTCTTTTCTTTTAAAAATCACATGCAAAATTGGTGGTTTAAGAGGTCCCACACCATATGTTCAATGATATTGGAAATTTGAGATAAATTATGTTCAATACAAGAATGTAAATCAACAAGTAAAATGTTTGCAATAGTTTCAGGGTTCATTTTATTGATTATAAAAAATTGACTAATTAAGAATATAAAGAATATAAAGAATTAATACAAGAATTAATTTGATTTCAATTCAAGAAAATTCTCCTATATTTATATCTTTTTAAAAAGCATGTTTTATTTTATATATCATTACATTTAAAAATAGTAAATACATTGACATGTAGTTAAAAATAATGAAGAATAAAAGCAATCTTAATTAATTTAATAAAAAAATAATAATTGAATGATTTGATAAACTTATGAATTAACCCCAAATCAGTCAAAATAAGATTAATGAATTATTTGAAAATAGATGGAATCGTATGGTTTGAAATACATCAAACCTTGTTTCAATGAAGTGGCTGGACATATAAGAAAATTTTGTTCAAAATCCATCAAAACGAAATTATGTTAATCACATTGGATTATTATGTTTTCGTAACATGTAACAAGGTTTTTAAAAATCTGTTGAAATGCAAATTTAATTATAATCCGTTAAATGCAAATTTAATTATAATTTGTTAAATGCAAATTTAATTATAATTCATTAAATGTGAATTTAATTATAATCCATTAAATGTGAATTTAATTATAATCCATTAAATGTGAATTTAATTATAATCCATTGAAATGAGGGTTCAACTGTATGAATATGTGGTTTGGTTTAAAAAAAATTGAATGATTTGATAATTAATTGTAGTCAGTTGGAACAAAATAATGAATTATGAATATGTGGTTTGATTGAAAAAAATTGAATGATTTGATAATTAATTGTAGTCAGTTGGAAAAAAATAATGAATTATGAATATGTGGTTCGATTAAAAAAAATCGAATGATTTGATAATTAATCCTTGAAAATTGGTTATGTGGTTAAAAAAATAGCATTAAAAATGCAAAAATTATATGCATAAAAATTTTTTTTGGATATGTGGTTAATATATTTATGCATGTTAATTTATATATATAGAAATATGGCAAAAATAAAATGCATTTAACATGAATGAACATAATAGTATTAATTTTTTTCTATATTTATTTACTATAAATATATCATTCATCAAATGAATAAATATGGATTCAGATATTTTAATAATATTGCTGTGCAAATTTGTGGATATTTTCGAATATTCTCATGGTTTCACAGAATACTGTGCATATTTTTGCAGATAACTACATGATTATCAAATCTACCAGCAGTCATACTAAGAATCTGTGTTTAAAAACACATTTCTGCTTAAGTTCTGCCTATTTTATTTGCAATTCTGCTTCATTCTGCTATAAAATCTTTATTATTTAATCTAGAATTAATTAAAAACAGTTTAATAAAAAAAAATAAAACAAAAAATTCTTATTCGAATTGCTTGTAGAAAAGAAAATATACATCTATCACTATTATTATTATTATCACTACAAGGAAAACTAATTACACAGTGAGTCTCAGTTTAGTAAATAGTGTTAGTATGGGAGCAATTAAGAAATTTTTTCCAAAAATCCGTTATATTAAGAAGAATTTTATTTATTAAATCATTCTTGACCTCAATCTGTTGAATCAAGATTCAACTGTTGCACCACAACTATTAATTGACTAAAGAAAAGAAAAGAAAAATGGAATGAAATGAGATAATGAACCACAATTTTAATAAGTCCTCTTGCCTAAATACACTGACTCTAACCATTACTATTACTATCAGTTATATTATCTGCTTTGAATTATTCATTTTATTTGAATTGTTTGTTTTATTCAAATAAAGACCTTAACCTGTTTCCATAGAGCCAACGGATTCAGCCATTATGCACCACAACATTACAATGTACAATAATATCAAAACTTCAGAGACATTGATTTGACAAATAACCCCTTTAGATTTTCCTCCATCTTCAGTTTCTTCCATCAAGTTCCATACCCAACTTGACTTCTTAGAACCACTTTTACTTTTCTTTTCTTCAAAATATGAGCAGCAGAATTCTCCCCCTTCTCATGTTCGTATTATTACTTTCTCCTATTATAATGACTGAGGCTCTTCTTCCATTTTAATTAATTAAATGAGAGTTTAATTGATTTGAGCAAATTTTATTTCAATTCACAAGTTATTGATTATCAGTTATTCAGTGAATATTCATTTTAATTTATTATTAAGGCTCTGAACAGATCAGATCAAAACCAGATCAGATCAGATCAGATAAAAATTCTTAATTCATAATTTCTTTCATAAATGATTTTTTATAAATTTTATTATTATTATATATACATAATATCTCAGATCAGGCCTCAGATTCCAGATCAGATCAGATTCAGTATTTAAAGAACCAGATCAGTTCAGTTCAGCTTAAACAGATTTCAGCTCAGATCAGCTTAAACCAGATCTGTTTGATGCCTTATTTATTATATTGTTAATCAATCAATGACAAAATCAAATATCCAATTAACCAAATATTCACTGAATATTATTCATTGGATGAAACCTCTATCATTCCTGTTTTTGATATATACTTCAAGTTAGGGTTGGGATATTTATCATACCATGTGGTATATTACCTGTTATATAATACCATAGTGGCAGGACATCTATGATGGGCATTATGCAACTTTTTGAACATTAATATGTATAATGGCGTGATGATCTTTTCTATTTAAAATTATTTGTAAATATATAAAGCTCCTAACAGGTCGGGTTCGGGCTTGGCCCGAATCTTTTAAAGGCAAACCCGAGACCGGCCCGAACCCGACCCAAAATTTTCGGGTCGATTACGGGTTAATAAGAAAATTTGTGATTTACATAAATTCAGATAATAATAATTAATTAAATATAAAAGGCGAAACAGTTATAGTGGTTTAAAAGCTGTAATTTGTGTCATGTGTGATGCTAAACACAATTTATGATGCAAGAGATGTAGAACTCAATTCATAATGCAAGATGTAACTCAAGGCAATTTGTGATGTAAGGCATAATTCAAGACAATTTGTGACACAATACATATTTAAAGACACAAGGCTGGTGGATGATGGCTGGAACTAATCATAGTTTAGGCCAAATTTTGCGGTGAAGTTGGCAAAACCTAAACTGCAGGTGAAAACTGAACAGTCAATTAAACTCTACTGTTTAATTTCCAACCACAAAAGTGTTTTATTGAACAAAAAAGAATTGATTTGTTTTATTACAAAATGAATTGGGTCAAAAATGACATTATTTTTGTGATAATCATAATCTTTTTTAATAAATATATTAATAAAAAATACAACTATATAGATTACATGTCCAGCATATGATTGGACGGCACTTCGATAAATCCGTTTTATTTATCATAAAACTTTGGTCATAGGTTTGACAATTTAACCACAGTTTAGGAGTTTGCCCATAATTTAAGTTTCGTCACCAGTTTAGGAGCCTAAATTCCTAATTTCTATAGATAAACTAATTCAGATTTGTTAAAATAATTTCAGCCACCATCACTGCACAAAATACAATCATGATGTGTGTATGAATTAATTCAAATTTTAACCACATATAAAACTCTTTATTTATTTGCATGAAAACTTTTTAATTTATTAATTTTTAATGTAACATCAATGCTTCATAGCTAAAAAGGTTTTGTTAGCTAATAAATTATCATGAATCATATTTGCACCATGAATTGAGACTTGCATCACGAATTGCATCTTGTGTCAATTGTATAAAATTATGATAGGTGGTGCAATGCAAATTTTTAGGATTTTTAATTGCAATTTAATAATTTTGATCTCAAGTATAATTGGTACAGCCCAAAAAGTTTTCAGGTTTTGGGTCAAGGTTCAGGTTTTTCGGTTTGGTCCCAACCAAAACCCAAACCCGACCCAAAAACTTTCAGGTTAGCCTGGCCTGTTTTGGAGCTTTAGTCTTTTCACCACTTGGACATCTGTGAATAACATAATTGATGATTTTATTCAACAATGTCAAATGAAATCATCTCTGCCAGGCTATATTTTAGAATGGATACCTTTTGAGCAATTTGATTATGTAACAAAGTTGACAGAAGGTGGATTTAGTTCGATTTTTACTGCAGAATGGACAAGAGGTTATATAAATGATTAAAATGAAAATAAAAAGTAATCTAGTTATTCAGCAAGCTGGGGAGTAGTATTAAAAAGTTTAAACAATTCAAGTAATCCAGGAAAAGCCTTTTTTGATGAGGTTGGTAGTTGTTATTTAAACAAAATAAACAATACTGTATTACATAATACTAATTGGTTTTATATTTAATAGGCAATGAATTATTGTAAAATTAGATCGGGGTTGATTGTTAATTCAGTCAGGGATCTTTCCAAATTTGGAATGTGGCTAATACAACAATTGATCAACAATAAATGTCTTCTTTCGGAATGGTATTATTTATTAGAGTATCACAAGACCTTCCTTTATATTATAGTTGGCTTGGTCTAAAGACCTCCTAAATTTTAGGCAAATTTTAAAAGTATAGAAGTCACTTTCTGTCATAATTTTTAAAAAAATAGCTCTATTAGTTGATAGAATATGTCTTTAGTTTTAATGTAATAGAGAGATTTTCTTAAAAAAATTATTTGTTGTAGAGTTCTATTCTTTTTTAAAACATGTACTTTACTATGCTCACGAGGAATTTGCCCACTATGATCATTTCTAAATTTAGGAAAACTATTACCAAATTTAGACTAGCTCTTGACTATCGTATCTAAATTTGGCAGTAAGAAAACTAAAATCATGTGAAGTCCTATTTTTTGAAAAAAATTTATTGCATTTTTGAACGAATTACAAAATTGCTATTTTGAAATTTGGCCGCATGGCGCAGCAATAGGAGGTCTTTAGACCGAGCCAACCATAGTTAGGGCTGTTTCTATTTTCCATGCCCCATATCTCTTGATATAATCAAAATACAGTCAGGGTCATTACCAAATATGGAATTTCTAAATATTGTAATGATAAACAATCTAGGAATATTTAGTAATAAGTGTATTAATATTAAATATTAACAACTTTTTAATTGAACATATTGTTAACTATTTCTTGGCAATGACACTTATATATAATGTCATTTTTTTTATTTCTTTAAATGCTGACGAATTTATTATGAAATGATGGAACAAGAAATTGTAAACATAGTGGTGGGGCAATCTGAAGTTAAAGATAATGAGGGTGTTGATAAGATAAGTGAGCCAATTGTAACAAATACAGAAAATGTGCTTAAATATATACAACAAAAATATTTAGGAGTTGATCTTCAAATAATTAAAAATATATTAAGAAATTTCTTATTGAAGCACACAAGAAGCAAAACAATGTTGCATTTATGAATTTATGAATATTATTATTAAAAAAAATTTTTTTTGTATATACACATTTAATTTGTATCACATGATTTGATAAAGTTTCGATTTAGCGGATCTCTCGATTTAACGGATAAATTTTCTGGAAAAAATATCCGTTAAATCAAGACTCACTGTGTACAAAATTTGAAAAATAAGTTTTAGACTGTGTAATGCCTTTATTTGCAATCAAATCAAACAATAAATTGATTAATCTAATTAATCTATTAACAATTCTTTATTGATATTAATATTATTTAATTAGGTGATGCTGCTTTTTTATATTTTTTGAAAAAACGTTGTTTATAAATATGTATCACATGCAGTGTAAATAAAACACTTAAAAAAATAAATTTTGAATACTACCATAATCATAAAAATGTAAAATTTATAAAAGTAAAAACCTCATTATTGATTTTATCGAATTGCTTTATTTCCACAAGCTACAACATTACTTTTATTGATGAAGGTAAAAACCAACAAATATCTTAGAATTTAATTAATCATTATTAATTAAATATATTAACGTTTGTAATTAGATGGCAAGTATTATTTGAAAATGTGAATTTAAAATACAAAAAAAAAACCTGCCACTAAAATTGTTTATTGATTTAGCGTCTTAATCTTTTCTTAAAACGTTCAGCAACTATATCATCTGTTGCTATTTCTCTTCGAGCACCATGCTTATTATTATTTGATGAGTTGTGATTTGATTGGTCACCCCCATTGTTAATTCTTTCATGGTCACTCACAGTTGGACGTGTGCGATAAACTAAAAATCCAAGAAGATTTTGGAACATGATAACTTAACAATATATGGTTTTTTTATCAACAAAATTTACTTTTACTTACATCTGTTAGTTGCCGAAAAACTAGATCCCTCAAACTATAAAATGACAATTTCAATAAATAGCAGTGATTAATATATGTATATAGATATATTAAATAATTATTATCAATTGCAATGAATAAATTTCATTTACTGAATCCTTTTCAACTTTTGGTTTTTGATGTCTTTTTTCCAATAATTTTCTTTTTGCCTTCTCAGTTTCCTCAATATTTTTAAGTCGTACACTTGTAGAAAATAAATTTCATTAGCATTTTTTTTTAAAAAAAATATTTTTGTCATAAATAAATTAAACAAATAATTAATTCTAAACACAAACTCTATTCCTAAATCAACTTCTGGTATTGCAGTAAGCATGGTTGTAGATAATTGAACATTGCCTTCTGATATCGGTTTACTTTCAATCTATATGAAATTATTTTTTATGAACCAATTTATCAAATATTTACATGATTGTTAACAATGATAATGGTGATAATACCCGTAGATGATCTGGTGGTTGAAAAAGCTCATCACGAGGGTCTGCGGGACCATTTTGTTCTTTGTCTTCTTCTTGATTTGATTTATCCTTTTGTCCTTTACGCTTTCGCATTTCTTCCTCAATATATGCCATCCTGAGAAATTGTAAATTGATTATTGTTTCTCATTTTGCAATATATATATATTATTTTTAATTAATTAATTAAATATTACATGTGTTTGTCAACATCAAGAGTATTGGTTTGTTTGGTAAAGGAATCCAGCATGATTTTTTTCTTTGCAACAGTTTCATCATCTTCTTCTTCACTTTATTTTTTTTTTAAAAAGAAAAATCAATGATTGATTAATGTCATCAAATTTCAAAAAGTAAAAAATAAACACGAAATTACATTCATACTCTTTATTATTATCATTTGAATCTATAGTTTCGCCAGTATTTTGCTTCCAATTTTCATCATCTTTTTTCTTTTTTTTTTTTGATTCACCTTTTAATAATTTTTCCACATCAATGCCTTGAGGTTTCTTACGAAACTTTCGAAGCTCTTCAAGATCATCTAATGTTTCACTAAAATATTTTAAAACAAGGCTGATAAATTTTTTTTAAATCATTTTTCTCAAAAAAAATAAATTATTTATTTACTCAATTTGTGCCAAAGTTTCCTCTTCCTCTTCCGATTTAGTTTTCTTGCGATAATTACGATTTTTTTTAGACATTTCACAAATTTTACAAATGGCTTAAATGGGTTTTAAACATGGATTTATATTTATTTTGGGTGAAACAAGTACGACAGTATTTTTCCTTTTTTGTAATTTGCATTTTTTTATCTTTATCACTCACTATTACTATTACTATGCAAATATTAATATTTTGTACCGAAGAAAAATCAAGTCAAAGGATAATATTAATAATAATACAAATGAAGAAACGGTTCAATTCAAAAATTGATAATTTTATTTGCTCTTGATTTTTTTTTTATTGATTTAAAAAATAAATAAAATGGGAAACATTATATACATTTACATATACAGTGAGAATAATTTTTAATAGTTCTTATATTTAAATTATTATTTTTTTTTTCTAATTATTATTTTTCAAACTATATATTTCATTTTGGATTAGTTCTTCTTTGAATATTTATTTGTTTGTCCTAATTTTTGTTGAGATAGATAACTTTCAAGTTATCAAATAATCAGAATCATCACCAATTATTGGAGTGATAGCTTTCAAAATGGGGCGCAATAGCTATCAACATGATATATTGAATACACTCATCAATATGATGAATGCGAGGATGCCAAGCAAACACCATTATCACAACGACGCCAAAACAATATTCGGTAATTAATAGTCGACTCTTAAAAGCTCATTTATCTCTCTCTGCGCAAAACTTGCTGAAAAATAGCCCTTTCATGGGGGAAAGTATCATGAACACGCACCATCATTGAAAACAATTACATATTGTTTTCAATATCCAAAACAGTAAGCTTTATCATCCATACTTCAAATAGATGAAAGAAGCAGCAAAACTTCTGACATCTATTAATGCTATCAACAACAATATAATTTGTTATATTTGTTGCTGGCAGTGTTTCCAACGTTGGTATTGTTGACGTTGGTATTGTTGACGTTGGTATTGTTGACGTTGGTATTGTTGGCATTGTTGATGTTGGCATTGCCGGGCTGGTATTGTTGACGTTGGTATTGTTGACGTTGGTATTGTTGACGTTGGTATTGTTGACGTTGGTATTGCTGTTAGTATTGGTAATATTATTGTTATCATCGCTGGCAGTGCTGCTTACATTGCCGATGCTGGTATTGTTGATGGAGGTGAAAGTAGTAATAATGTTGTCCTTTATCATAATAATGCTGTCAATGGTATGGTGTACCGATAGTGGTGTGGTGTTGTTGATACCACACCATTAATTTCGTCCAAAAGTTCGTAAACAAAAGATATTAAGAAACTATATGATCATGAAGAAACCATCTCAATTTTAATTCTAGATACTGACATACAACGAAGATGTATATAATAATTATCAATTTTTTTAGGAAAGAAAAATATAATAATAGTAATAGAAATGCCCCCCTTTTTTAATTAAAAAAAATTTTTTTTTTCAGCCAAATCAGTCTCTTTAAAAAGAAAATTTTGTTGTTGATTGCAGGAAAAAAGCGCGCACATAATGAAATTGTTGAAGGTTTTAGAAATATGTTTATCTTGTAAATTATTTCCTCTATAGGTAAAGATATTCACATTTCAATTTTTCTATTTTTTAACACCATTAATATATAAGGTCACTCCCGTTATAAGAACGCTCCTGGGGACAAGCAAAAAATGTCCGTATAACGGGATGTTCTTATAATAATAACGGGCGTTCATATAATAAAATAACGTGATTAATAAAAAAGGCTATATAAAATAGAACATAGTCTTTTTATTACCTTTAGAGAATTGATTGGTGAGAAAGTAAAGACCTTTTTTATTTTAAAAACAAAATTACTCTACATTAATTAATAGTACTAATGATGAGAATCATTATGTATGAAAAGAATTTGAATCTTAAAAAATCATAATAATAAATTTATTGGAGAATATGAAGTATATAAATTAATCGGTGAAATTATCTAATATAACTAATTATGGGAACGGTTCGGCCCGGAACGGTTTAACCGCGGCTTGAAACTTAACTGATACGGGTTGGTTTACATATTTCAAACCGCGGTTTATGATTAAGCCAGTTCGAACTCCGGTTTGAAACTGAATTAAACGTATATAGTTAATTTTCATTGATCTGGTCCATTTATAGTGAATTTTGAATTTTTTTTTTCTAATTAATTTTTTCCCCTCAAATAAAAGATGTATATTATTACTACTGCCATTACTGCCACTGCAATTTCCAATACCAATACCAATACCAATACCAATACCAATACCAATACCAATACCAATACCAATACCAATACCAATACCAATGCCAATACCAATGCCAATACCAATACCAATACCAATACCAATACCAATACCAATACCCGATTCAAACCTCCAATTTGACAGCAGGTTTTTGTCGATATTTTTGTGAAAAATTTTTTTTTAAGGAGAATTGATAATGCTGCATTTTCAACTTCAATTGTTCAAATTTTTGAATAATATTTCATCAATAATTCAACTCGAATACATGACATTAATTTTATACCTTCCATTCCATAATCATAATCATAATCATAATCATAATCATTATCAATCGTTTAAATTCCTAATAATTTACAAATCATTAGAATTACTTCGAAAGTAGATGAATATTTTACAAAATTTAGAAGTTCCGTATTTGTGCGACCCATATAGTGGATTGGGAAAAATTTCGACTGGCACTTTAAAAAATCATACTAAGGATACCGACTGCAACTTTTGATGATGGTTGCTACCATCTTTGCGTAATATAAAAATGATTGCAACCGCCTTTACGACCCTTTTTTGGATTGCGACATGGAACACTAAATCATACTGATGAAAAATGATAATGGTGATTATAAAATTACGATTAAAATTGTGTTCAAACCGCAATAGTAAACTGCCGGTCGGCGGGGCTCACTAGTCAAACTGGTGGTTTATAAACCGAACCCGAAGTTCTCAAACATATGAAATAAAAACAAACGAGTCAATAAATCCTCTATATAACGAAACATTTATCTGAGGCATTTATGTCGCTACAGCGATGTTTCGGTTTATACATATGCCGAATTTATTAGTAATAAATAGTAATAAAAAGTAATAATCAGCAAATTGTTCTAGGGAAAATTTAATATAAAATGTAGATTTAAAATTACTTAAGGCCATGAAATTTGGATAATTCAGGTTTTTGTCCTTTCTTAAAATTTCTTTTTTCTCTAAAGCAGTGATCATGTGTTTCGGCATAATGAGGTAAATTTAAAATAAATGGGACTTTAGTAAGACGATATAACTGGTATTCATATTAATATGAAGTTATACGAAAAAAACTTCTTGATAGATTTTGGCGCTTTCGGGTTAAATGGGGTCTTTACATAGAGAGATTTAATGTATAGTTGTCATTTGTTAAAACCATTGACTCTATGCCACATGTTGAATTGTTTAAAAAGACCTAGATGTAAATGCTTTTAAAGCTCATTCAATTTAAAAGCAAGATCTTATTTTAAAGCAGCATTATCAAATAATTGAGTAAAAATATCTGAAAATGGCGTTACTTTCTTTGAAGAAGAAATATACAAAATTGACTTTTTTTTAATTAATTATTATTGTAATGGGATCCAACAGAATATAAATTATAACATATCATTCAAAAGTCAATCATTCAAGACTATTTTTAAAATTTAATTAGAATTATTTTTAAAATCTGAAGATATTACAACAATTAAAAACCTACACTTGTGTCTTTATTGAAAAATGATGAATTAAATTCAGATGAGATTCGTCCTCGGAATAATATAATCCAATGGGGGCATTAATCTTGCTATATAATAGATGTGCTTCTTGTTATATTTGCTGGTTACAAGCATTTGATGGTTTGTTAAATGATGGAAATTTATACTATCATTTCGATTTGATGCATGCTGTATGTTTGGTGAGACAGAATTCCTGACAATTGAAGATGGAACAGGAATACTTCTGTCATCCATCTGGTGCATGGGGTGGAATTGGCACAATTTCTACATGTATGCTCAAGAATAGTCTTCAGTATACAGCATATACACCATTAAAAATATTCCAAAATCTCAAAAAATCAACACCTTACAATGTAACACCTAAAAAGCAAAAATCCAGCTAATATTAATAGACAGATCAAGAAAAAATTGGAAGATTGGATCCGAATTTTTATGAATGTATTTCTAGCAATAGTAATGGCTGGCCAACTAAGTTAGATACTGATTTATTAATTTTTTTTATTTATAAATAAATAAACTTTTTTCACTGAAAAAGTTTTTTGGATCAAAACCTAAGCTACATAGTGAATGATATGATTTTTTTTATAAATTTAAGATCCAATGCTTTTGTCTAGATATTGTGTATATTATTTTTTAAAATTATCATTCATTCTGATTGTTTGAAATAATGTTGAAATCGTAATTCCAATGCCCTAAAAATAAAATAAAATTTATATCAGAAACCTTAATCATAATAATATTAATAATAAATATAATATTTATTTCCAAATTTTACCTTCGTTCCTCCTTCCTATATAATAAATTTAAAGATTTTGGTGCTTTCCAAACAGGCAACATTATTGGAATTTTTGTTCTATTTTTAATTTAAATAAATTAATATATATATATATATGTATATTACTTTAAAAAAAAATACAAATACATACATTGTATCTTTTTCTTTTGTAGGGTCAAAATAGGCTATTATACATCCAGAATCTAATATGTAAAAATCAGTAATGTTTATTTGTAAATAAAATTTAAAATAAATAAATATCACGTCCATCTATACACATAAAAATATTTATATATATAAATTTACCTAGTTCTTTTATTCTTTCATTAACATCCTCATCAAATTTACTAAATAATGGATTTGGTTCAGATAATAAAATCTCCAATTCTTTTAATCCAAGATTAATGACTCTCTTTGAAGATAGAAAAGGAAATATTGTGGAAATCCCTTCAGCATTGCACCTAAAATTACATCTTACTACATCATATGTATCATGTCTTGTAAATAACTTTACTCCGGTATTTACTATCTGTTATAATAATCAATAATTATATATTAATTAATTTGGTAAAAATATATGTGAAGATCATATTGTATAACTTACTCTAAGTTTTTGTGTATTAATTGCTTGTAATAGGGTCTTTACAGCACTTGAGACTAAATACAATGTTTTATTCTTTTCAGTTTCTGAACGAACAAGTATTTGATCTACAGGAAATTCATCTGATAACCCATAAAAATTTCTAGAAATGGATAATCATAAACAATTTAAAAGAGTAAATTATATAATAATCCAAAAATATATACATACTTTATTATTGGTATTTCTTCATTGTCAGGAGATAAAAGTATAAATGGTTCTTCTCCGCTTAAAGAATTTTTACTTGAAGAGTCATCTTTTTCAACTTTTATTTCTTTCTTCTTGATATTATTGTTTGACTTTGCCTTATTTTTTTCAACTTTTGTACGTTTAGATGACTCTTCAATATTGCTTTCTTCAATACTAGATCTTTTAGATGGCAGTAACAAATCACATTTGTCCTCATTATTATTATCATTTTTCTCACTATCATTCTCAGTAATCTTTTGTTCAATGTTAATATCAATAACATCATTTACATTGTTATTATTGTAACCATCATCATCATTAATGTTTTCCTCAAGTGTATTATTTTGATTGATCCCCAAATCCTCATCTACAATTTCATTTTTAATAGTAGCTTTACTTATTATATCAGTTGATGATGATGATACTGATGGTAATTCTTTCAAAGGCGGCACCAAATTACATTTGTCTTTATTATTGTCATTATTTTTCTCATCATTTTTCTCATTATCATTCTTAATAATTTGTTCAACACTATTTGTGTTGCTATTATTATAAACATCATCATAAATGTTTTCCTCAAGTACATCATTTAGATTAGTTTTCCAATCTTCTTCATCTACAATTTCATTGTCAATAATGATTTCATTTTTAGTTATTATACCAGTTGATGATGATGACTCTGATGATGATTCGGAAGCCTTAATAGGATTTACATCTGTTATAGGTCCAATTTTTTGAAGTACAGCTATAAAAAATCCACCTGTATTTTGAAAATGTGGATAAACTCGTATGCTAAATATAAAATAAAAATTTATTATATATAGAACTAATTATTATTTTGATAATTTTTTAAAAAAAACATACCATTTTTCCAAATGAAATTCATCAATATCTTTGGGTGGCCAAAGTGATTTAGGATAATTTTTTTGACAATTTTTATCAATATCTTGTATTTTATCCACCCAGTTACCATCTCGATCCATCACCTAATTAAATAATAACAACAAATAAATTATATGAATTATATATATTGAAAAAAAAAATATAATAATTTAAAAATCCCATAATAATATATAGAATACCTTCCATGTTTTAACACCAGGTGTCCTAATCAATTGTGGTAATTGATCAGATACATCTACTAATTCTAAATTTCCTATTTTTATTTAAAAAAAAAAAAAATCTATCAATATCAATTATGTATTTCTTTGCACAAAAAAAAATTTTTTTTTTTAAACCTCTACATCTTTTTAAAACTTCTACTATAACTGCCTCATTTTCTAATGGATTAAAAGTGCATGTTGAATAAACAATACGCCCATTTTCTTTGAGTAATTGAGCTCCACGAAGTAAAATTTTTACTTGCATACTAAAAAATCAAGAACAAGTTAATACAAAAAATTATCATTATTTATACATATATAAAATTTACATACGAGTGTAAACCTATAGGATTTCCAACATTCCATTTATTCCATATCAAAAAATTTTTTCTTAAAGTTCCATCACCACTATGTAATGTATTACAATTAATCAATAAAATTTGGTATTAAAATTATTATGTAAAATTAAAAAAAAAATAAAAAATAAGAATCTATCAAGTAATAAACTGCAAGGCACATCAGCCAATATTCGATCAAATTGAATTGCTTTATCTTTTTTACTATTTTCCTAAAAAAAAAAATCAATAAATAAGTCATATATTAATCAATTCTAGAAATTATACTAAATACATAAATAAATTACCTGTTTTATAAGAATACTAGGAAATTGTGCTGCATCATGATTTGTTACCACCAAACATGGGCTTCTTAATCTTTTTGTTTGATGAATAAGCATATAACTTCTTCTTGAATCAGCATCATTAGCAATCACAATACCAGCTATATATATATTTTAAAAAAACTTAATTATTAAAACACAAAAAGAATTGATATAATTAATATTCATACATGGAATCTTGATTTCCTGTGAATCATTTGCATGAATTGCTTCAATAATTTGAGAAGTTTTGGATCCAGGAGCAGCACACATATCAAATACCCAATGATGTGGTTTAACATCTAATAATAATGTTGGAATCATGCTAACAGCTTCTTGTCTACTAATATTACCCTATAAAATAAACATAATTTGTTAAAAAAAAAAAAAGAGGATAGAAAAAATTCACAAACTAACAAATTTGTATACTAACCGCATCAGTTTCAGCCACTAACCATTTATGAAAGTATTGGAAAGCAGGATCTTTTTTAATTGTATTTCTTGGAGCTAAATGTTGCCAAGCAAGTTCGTCAGGATACCTTTAAGACCAATAAATCAATTTATTAAAAACATATAAATATAAATTTGTTGAACTATGAATGAGCATTGATATCTTTAAAGGAAAAATTTATAATAAATTATAAAAGCAACTTAATAAAAATTACTTTTACCAAGGCAAAGGTTTTGGAGCTTCTGATTTTTGATCATCACCAAATTGAATTTCATTTATTTTTGGAAAATATTTGGTTTTCATTAAATCTCTTAATTCAAATGAGTGACTTTATTTTTTTTTAAAAAAAAATAATAAATTCTTAGTTTGTTTATCAGGTCATAAATAATCAATAGAACCGCATCAATATTGACAAGTAAATACCTTCTAAACCCAGTAATTCTGAAACATGTAGGAAGGTTTGATTTATTAAATTCCATAAATTTATTCCATTCATCTTCATCAGGAATAATGTTTTGTGCCTTTTAATTATTAAAGCAATTTAAAATAAAATAATTAATAAGTCTTATAAACCTCTCATACATGATATTTAATTTATATTGATTGAGCGATTTAATACCTTATAATAAGTGACAAATTTTTCATTTTCTCTTATAGCTTCAACATACCCCTGTCTCTTATTATCAATTTTACCACCTTCGATATTATCATCACGAGATCTTTTATTGTTTTTTTTCTTTTTTTTCCAACCCATAATAACAATTATTTATCAAAATAATTTTTTTTTGAAATTGATCAAAAAAATTCCTAATCGTGTAACCAACCGTTTTTTTTTAAAACATAAAATAAAATTGTGCCATTAATATTAAAGCTTTCTAATGAAAATACTCTTGGAGCTTTCTATATATACAAAAGTTAGATATTCAAAAACATCAACATTACCCACATTAACATGGATAGATTTGACTCACATACGATTTTGTCACATTTTTCAATTATTAGAAAATGTAACATAGATATAACAAGTATCTCGTAACATATAATGAATTGATCTGCGGACTATTCTGGAATCGAATCCTGATACGGAAATATCCCTGACTGTATTATACAATATTGTAAGTATTATTATTATTTAATGCCCGTCCTTTTTAAGAAAACATTAGGGACGGGGAGTAATGGCGCAGTAACCAGTCCCCTTTTCATCCGTCCTTCCCCATGAATAATAGAAAAGGACGGGGGACGGATTCAAGCCACACCTGGCCGTCCCCCGTCCTTTTCACGTGTCCCATTGAAAAGTACTTTAAAATTACCATTACACAATATAAAAAAGATCGACATTTTAAGTCACATTCATGATAATTACGAAATTCCACTATGCTAAAAATGGGGTGCGAATAACAATTCCCTATATATATATTAATAAATTATGGCCCGTGTCACATGATCCCGTGATTTTACAACTTTCTCAATTTTGCGGATATTCCAATTTAGCAGAAAAATTTTTTGGAACAAACATATCCGTTAAATCAGAATTCACTGTGTATGTGATTTCTCTTTGAGCATTTATCTTTACAATATTGTTAGCTGTGTGAAAAGCAACCTCAACATTATTATCATCAATTACTTTGGTGATTACTCCTATTGTCCCATTACATATTCCATGTTCAAACAATTTATTATTTAGGAACATTATGCAAGCACCCTCCTGCAATGTGATAGCCTTTGGAAGATTGGTATGGTGCTTAAAATTCAACTGAATATCACTATTGTCAAACACTTCATGGTTAAAGGCATCCACAGACAAAGATACAATATTATCAGAGCATACACCATCGAATAGTAAGTTGTTGCAGGTGAGAGAATTGATATCATCAGCTGTTCATCGAAGCCCAACAACATGCATTATACTAAATAAACACATAGTTGCATAGATACATGTTCTTAACAATTTCAAACACATTGATTGACAGAAACAACAATCAATGATGGGCATAGGAACACATGTAGGAACACATGTTAACATTGCAGCATGGATGACATGACAATAAACATATCCACGTAGCATTAAAAAAAGAAAGATATATGGTATAAAAATAAACATGTAGTTGCATAGGTACATGTTCTTAACAATTTAGAACACATTGAATGTTCACCGATGATTTTGTAACAAACATGTTGATTGATCAGATAATGGTTCACAGCCATGATCTCATGCACCTGAATCAAGAATCAACAGATAAATGTAGATCTCAAATTACAGTCACACCTGTCTATTGCATACCATATGTTTGCATAATCTGTTCATTTGCAAAAGGATTTTGATTTTCTTCCTAGTATATGTAATCTGAAATAAATGCCAGTATAATCTTATTATAATTTTTTCTTTTCCATCTAAGAGCAAAGTCCAGATTCTAAATAATGACAATTAAATTATTTTGTATTTTCCGTATAATAAAGATTGTGTAGGTCGTGTAACGTGATAATTTCGAATGTCGATCAAAAACAAAATTCCACTATGCTCCCCTAGATAATACTATTAACATCAGGATCTTAAATTATAAAATTGCATCATGATGTAAAACAGGTAAGGAAGGGGATAGATGAATTTAATTTTTTATTCCAAATATATTTGTGCCAAAAAAGTTTTTTTTACAATACCAATAAACAATAAACAAAGATTTTATAAGAATGTAAAAAATGTAAGACTTGAATATCTTTCAAGATACTTTTAAAAAAAAGGTCCATAAGAATGGCCTCCAACCAATTTGAAATCCATAATAGAGAAGTGTATATCTGAAGCATCTTTTTGAAAAAATATATTTGATTTAATTGGTAATTTCATTAAATGATGATGATGGTGATGAGACCTCATGATTTTTTTCAATAATTAGATCATCTTCTAAATCATTCAATTTTATTGTTCGTATTCTTGCTACTTCATGACTTTTGATAGATCCCTATTAAAATATAAATTATTACTAACTATAATTTTTTTACAAAAGTGAATTATCTATTGTTACCTCTATTAAATTCATTGCTAAAGGATTAAGTATCTTCTTTTGAATCAACCTATTAAGCGGTCTGGCACCTATTGATTATTATTAATTAGCTATTTACCTAAATTGTTCCAGTAGACTTATTGAAAATCATACAGTGTGAAATTTCTACATACCATAAACAGGATCATAACCATTTGTTGCTAACCATGCTTTTGCATGTCCGTCAATATCAATAGTAATCTGTTTATCATTTAATCTTTCTTGAACCTCACGTAATCTCACATCAACAATATCCCTCAAAGCCAAACGTGAAAGTCTGTTGAAAACAATCTATATAAA